GTCCTCCTGCTCTCTACTCACTCATGACCCGCTGCTGGTCCTACGACCCCAGAGAGAGACCCACTTTCACTGAACTGGTGGTCAAAATCAGGTATGTCTTCTCAAAGTTTGACTAAATGCCCTTTTTTTTGGACTTGTAATCAACAAGGACTCACTGTGGCCTCTGTAACAATGCCGACATTGAGTTAGTATGTGTATATGTAAATTTTTCTCAGAGTTAGTTTGATACAGAAGAAGTTAGGGTCACTGAATGCTGGCTTTTAATTTGAAAGAATTACGGTGAGATAATACTTATGATATTTTATATAAAGATATATTAAAAATGAGCATTAGGTGTGTTTTTTGTACCGCTCTTACAAAGACATGATCTGACCTGTTGTCTTAAATCCGCCAGTGATGTCAACAAGATGGAGAAGGAGCAGGAAGTGGAGAGAGGGAGGGACAGAGTGCGTACCACAAAATATTTTGAGCCCAAGTTTAATGAGCCTCCTCCCAAGGTATGAACCCCTGACAAATTAAGCCCCTGTTGTATGTACAAAACAGCCCACATTTCAAAATTAGTATATGTACATTACAGTTTTTTTTTTTACCTTTACTGTAGCCTTCAAGATTCTTACCAGGGCGGTTTGGGAACACACTCAGTATTGGTCTACACATTCAGGTACAGTAGTGTGACATCTAAAGTAGGGCTGGACCTGAATATTTGGATATTTGTTTGTTGGGTAGGCCATCGGTTTTTATTTTTAGTACTCAAATATTTTACACCGCCGCTGCTGCACAGCAGTGCCAGTGACAATCTTGTTAACAAAGTTCAGTGTGGAAATTGTTCAGGTAGCAGCTTCTGTTGATCATCACTGTTTCTGGTTAAATGACAACCAGGGGGGTCATACCAGCTGTCGCTAAGGTTAACCTAAATTGATGACAGGAGATCTGTCGTCTGTTCCTCTGTTACATTAAATATTACATAACTTTCATTAGCTTTTGTTTTGTTAACCCAAAATACTGTGAGATAGGCAAAGAGGTACTTTTAGCAGCAGCACAGTGTCGGCCTATTAACACCCCGAATGTTCACCAAATATTCAGAGCTCAAAATTTGCCATTCAGGACAGCCCTAATCTAAAGATGCAGATTTCCTTCAAGATGGCAGTATGTATGTAATTCATACGTGTGTGTGTGTGCATCTGTGCAGCTGAATGAGGCTTTGTGTGCCAGCTCACCTGACCTGGTCAGCCCAAGTGAATATCAGTCCCCTCTGGACTCCATGAACACTCTTGCACCTCCAGCTATGTCCATTCGCCGTCGCAGCATGGGGGTAAGAACGCTGACTTCTTACATTTGACATCACATGTTCAAATGTAGATAAACTTCTAATACTAAAGCACTACATTTGATGAAAGAAAGGCTTAAATAGAAAGAGATGAAAAAAAGAGAACTGTTGCCTCCACTGTTATATTTCCTCCTGTAGGAGAGCGAGTTTCCCCGACTGGAACCAAACAGCCGGGAGGATGCCCAGCGCCTGTGGCAGAGAGAGAAGCAGAACATGCAGGACACTCTCCGACAGCAGAAAGCACAGATGGCGGAAGATAAAAAGTGGCTGAAGGCAGAGGAGAAGCTCCTGGTGGGGAACAGAGCATCATTAACTTTTGTCACCTCCTCTCTGTGTCCCCTTTCTCCTGAATTCAGTGTGGCTCTGGAGAAGGTCCATGTCCATATTATGTAAAATGAATTTTTCCTGTTCTTTTGCAGGACCCCATGGCACCAGAGGATGCTGCCAACCCAGTGGTAGGTGTCCGCCTGTACAAACTGTGACGTCAAAGGCAGATTAAGGGAAAATGGCCTTATATACATGACCTTTCTCAGCCCAGATTGCTCTCTTTGGCAACATACTCTTTGTCTCCCACTGGAGACATGACCAAATGCAGTCAGCATGATGATGATGTCACAACGTGTAATAGCTTGTGTAGGGTATACGACAATCTCAGTGTGAGATGTAACATTTAAATAATAAAATAGTATATTTCTCTTAAGAAAAAGGACAAATAAAAGATGTTTTCTATTTTCCCAAGTGAGCATCACTTGTATATTTTCACAATATACAAGTAGATATACAAGACAGACTATTCTTAATTCTTAACTAGGGTGAAATCTAAATTATATCTACAGTGAGGACAACTTTAGTCTGAAATGAGTTCTTATTGTCGCTAGATATGTGAGCTATTGAATGTCTTTACAGTGACATCTAGACAGGATTTATTTTCTAGTCCTCATGAGATTTTTCTTTGTGTATTCTTTGTAGTCCCCTGAAGCTGACACTCAGAATGGCAAGTGCTCAAAGAAATTCACTAATTTACATTCAATTAATTTTGAAGGCTATTATCTCTCTTAATCCTCTCGCTCTCTGTCTGTTATTCATCTTCCTGTCCCACAGCACTGCCAGAGAAGCCACCACGGCACACAGTGCACGTAAATATATCAATTCCTTATTCATTTTAATCTCACTGAAAAGGCCTTTTAATTTTATCTTAGATTTTTAGATAAAAGACTTTTGAAACTGCTCCGATGTCTTCATATATTTAAAATAGGGTCCTTCATGTTTGTAATAATTAAAAAGATATTTCCTCTCTCTTAGCCTGCGCCCACAGCTGAACTGGACCGCTCTGATGACAAGGTGTATAATTCCGTCATGGACTTGGTCAAAGTTGTTGTCGACCTCAAAAATGACATCCCCATGATGCAGCCAGAACAATATATCACCATTATCAAGGTGCTATATTTCAGATTTCTGTTGTTTTTACTTAATTTCTTCAGTTTCTTGCTGCTTTATTGGCAGCTGTAATGGAAGACAAACATCCTGAGTTATACAGCTGATTAATTCTTTCTATTTTACTCACAGTCTGTAGGTATGGCTTTACGAGATCTGATTCGCAGTGTGGATGACATACTGCCCACATTACACGAGTCTGTCAGAACTGAGGTAAAGTACATCATCCTCTGCTTGTTTGCCATTTTCTCAACTCCTTACTCTTGGCCTTTATCGATTTTTTCTTTCCCCCAAGCTGGTCCTGTTGTTTGTCCCTGAAACAAAAAGTGACAGAATACCTCTTCAGACACCAAGAGGCAAAGAAGAAATTACACTTTTTTATGTTTAATGTTTTTGACTCAGGCCAACTTATCAGTTTTAACACACCTCAGAGATTTTATAAATGTAAAATATGATGCATTTCTTGCTTATCCAGTCAACCCCAGCTGATATGTACAAAGGGTTTAGACAAAATGTACATAAAATACTATATACTGTAGGTACTGCATCTTGGGACTGTAGTAATTTCAACAAAAACTGAACATTTATGAGCTTTATAAAGATACTGCTTATGTCTACATACTTTGATTGCACAATACCGTTACTCTTTTCATTTCCTGTATTCCTACTGTAGAATACTGGTGACAAAATCGATGAATGTTTACTGTTGCCACAGATCGAGGGCACCCAGAAGCTGCTGAACAATGACATGGCAGAGCTGATCAGTAAAATGCGGCTGGCCCAGCAGAACGACATCACCTCTTTGAAAGAGGAGTGTAAGAAACAGATGCTGGCAGCAGCACACACTCTGGCTGTGGACAGCAAGAACATGTTAGATGCTGTGGACCAAGCAAGGGTCAGGGCTAATTTAGCCAAGCCGGTGGCTCCCTAGTGGACTATACACTTTCTGGTTCCGTTTACACATTAAGCTTATAAATAGACTTTTCATCATCAGTCAGTCAGAAATAAGTTTGCACACAGTCAAACATTTTGTTGCGATCAAATCAATTAAGTTCAGCCTGCAGCAGCCACAAGTTCTCTGGACAGTCGTCAGCTTGTAAATGAATTTAGTTTAGTTTAAATATGATGTTACAACTCAGTGGATATGAACAACTTGGAAAAAAGTGTATGTGTAAGTTTACCAAAGTAGTGTGTATATTGAAACTGATGATTTGTATGGTTCTCTGTTGCCATTTTATTTAGGATACAGTCAGATCTGACAAGCTTCATTTTATCTAAACATCTTTCTTTTGTTGTTGGTGAGTTATTTGACATAGTTATCTGCTCAGAAATGGAATTATCCTTGTAAATATAAAACATGTCTTAAATACGAAAAGGTTTTACAACAGGAAAAAGTTAATTACTTTAAAGCTAATGATACCAAAAGCAAATGGCTGACTCAAAGCTGTCAGTAAAGGTGACAAAAAGAAAAGGTTGGTCAGTCATTTAGGTTTTACTGTATATAAATATACACCTCTCAAGTGTCACTGTAATACATTTTAAGATCTTGGGCTTTCTATATAAACTATGATGATGAAGAGTACAATGCTATGGATAATGAATTTTCATGTTTCTGCTCTGTTCAGCTTGAGTCAAATGTTTTTGTATTATGTCCATTATCAGTATCATAAAATGTGAAATTCTAGCACATAATTCAAGTGATATAAAATAAATATGTCCACTATGGTAAATCAGTGCCTGTTCACTGAGGTGTACCTCTTGTAAGACGTAAGAAGCAATAAAAGGTCCAGAAAGACAGGAAATCAAATAATTCATTCAGTAATTCCTTTAATCTATTTTTATAAGTGGTAAACACAATAAAGGCAACATCTGTGCAATATCATGTAATCCCATCTGTAAACATAAATGTATTTAGCCTCTGAAATTAACACACAGTTGATTAAGCTCCTGTCTGATCTTAACTTATAAGATTTATAAAGATCGTATGGCTGTTGACTTGGTTTGCATTATATTGTATGGGTATTGCCAAAATCAGGAGCATCCTGTCTCAAAGTTATACTGAAAAACTGGTCCATGCATTTGTTACTTCCAGGCTGGACTACTGTAACTCTTTACTATCAGGATGTCCCAATAGTTCCCTAAAAAGCCTCCAGTTAATCCAACATGTTGCAGCCAGAGTACTGACAGGAACTAACAAGAGAGATCATATTTCTCCCATATTAGCTTCTCTCCACTGGCTCCCTGTAAAATCCTGAAATAATTTAAAACCCTTTCCTAACATACAAAGCCCTTAATGACAAGGCTCCATCATATCAGAGGTGTTCCTATTATTCTGACCCACATATGTAACTGGGTAGGACAAAAATATAGACTCTCCAGCTTCTGATGAGACTGCAAACTTACTAACAACTTACATACTCCCAACACTGTAGTAGACTAACTGAGATAATATACTAAAGATGGGCATGTTAACGTTCAGTAGCTGGTAACATCCATGCTAACTTTCCAGTACTAGTTAACATGCTAATGTTATCATTGAGCTTAAGGGGAAACAGACTTCCCCTAGAATCTACTCCCATGTCTTAGGATTTAACGTAACACTAACCATATGAGTCAAGTCTGGCTAGCAGAGCCTGAGATGTCCTAAAATTGCCACTGTAACTACAAATAAAAAACCCTTTTGTTTTTTCTTCACTAGCGGTGAAGAAGCGGTGAATCTAAAAAGTTACAAAGTTCTTTCCATCATTCATAATTTTGGTTTGGCGTGTAAAGTGCTTCATAGGCTTTACACGTTCACATTCCCAGTGTTGAAGTGGAGTTCAGCTACATTTTAAATGTGAAACAAAGTGGAGGTGGTTACATTTGTTTTTCAACCTGACACAGTTCTTCACAAGTACTAGATCATGCCAGCCAGCCATGGAGGCAGGAAGAGGCCAATGGTCCCAAGTAGGCACACAATAATGAACATCCACAGGAAGATGCGGTCAATCACCATGGCAACATACTTCCAATCCTCTTTCACCTGAGAAGAGCAACAAAAAAAAGTAAGAAATGAAAGAAAACAGTTAACAAATATGAAATTCTCCCTGTGAGCTGCATGGTTTATTGGAGGTTCAATCAGGACGGTCACTTTTTATACAAATGCTCTCTTCATTCTCATGTGTATTTAGGTTGGTTATCAGCTGACCTGCTGCTGCTATTCAACCAGTATCATTTTGCTATGACCTCTCAGTAACCAGTCATTTTTTGGATCCAAACTTTTAAAAATCTTCAGGATGTCACATTCAACAGGAAGCGCTTTGTGTTTTAAGTGCTGCCGTGATTGACTGATACTCACACTGAAGTCAGCATCCCCAGCTCTCAGGTGATCTGCAATGTAGTGCACACCTTCTAATGCACGTATTACACTCGGTGAAAGCAGGAGTGGTGAGTCTGATACTGTATTATTGCCTTTAGTTGGCCTCTGAGTAGGAGTGACTCTGGCTCCTGTTAAAAATCTGTCTGTCCCTCCAGCCACTTCCTCCCGGTTCTGGCTGTTCTGTGGGGTTTTCTGCTGCGGTGGAGGAGTTGACCCCGGAGGTCTGGGTGAAGGTGGACGGAAGGAGAAATATGATGTCAGTGTTCCCAACTCCAAGTCCTCATAATAACTTCTCTCAGCGTCTGCCAACTCGGTCCTGTCATTTAACCAGTTAGCCGAGGTGCAGAGGCAGTTGCCAGTTTTGTACCCACTTATCCGGTTCTGCCCCTGCTGAAGCAGCAACAGCCTGCGACGCCGGCCATCTGGTGCGGGCCGCCGCATGAACAGCCATCGTGGGATCAGGTCCAAGAACACGGAGTGGACCCAGTGGGGCATCTTGTGAGTGCTGGGAGAGCGATGGTGCACGTTGAGCACAAAGACAGTGATGACGATGGACAGGGTGACGAAAATCATAGTGAAGAGGAGGTACTCGCCGATGAGCGGGATGACGAGGGATGTGGACGGTATGATCTCTGTGATGAGGAGAAGGAAGACAGTGAGGGAGAGCAGCACAGAGATACACAGGGTGATTTTCTCACCACAGTCTGAGGGCAGATAGAAAACCAGAACAGTGAGGCAAGAGATCAGCAAACAGGGGATGATGAGGTTGATGGTGTAAAACAGTGGGAGCCTTCGAATGATGAAGAAGTAAGTGATATCGGGGTAGATCTCATGGCAGCAGTCATATTTCTTTGTATTGTATGTTCCCACAGCGTTGATGATAGCCCATTCACCGCTCTCCCAGTAGTTGTTGAGATCCACGGTGTTTTCAATTCGCTCCAGGTCAATCTTGGCCTTATCATATGTCCAAGACCCAAACTTCATTTTGCAGTTCTGTTGATCAAAGGGGAAGAAGGTGACATCGATGCTGCAGGAGCTCTTGTAAATTGCAGGAGGGACCCAGCGAACTTTGCCAGTGTGGAATAGATGAGCTTTTGTCATGTGGGTCACAGCAAATTCTCCATCAGCGCTGGAAAAACAGAGTAATGGTGACATACAGAATGAGACTTCTGTTTTAAATATATGAGAACAAAGGCTAAAAATAGCAGATAAGCAATCGTGCACCTTTTGCTGAAGAAAACGTACTTTCTTCATTTAAGAAACCACACAGTGAAAAGTGATTTCCTAATAATCTTCTCTAGCAATCTCCCCTCCATTCTTGGCTTTAATGGTGATAATAGCTCATGCTGAAGACATAATGATGAGGCCTTATCATTTCATCAGCTCCGCACCGTTTTTAATTTCACTTACAGATCATGATTACACAGACTTGATGGAGCAGAACTCCATCATCAGCCCTCTCGGTTTAATCTCCATACGGTGAATTTAGGAGAAGGCAGATGTTTCTTAAAAATTTGGGATATTACAATAGATTTTACACTAAATCAATGCACATATGGATATTTTGCTTCACTATATAGAGATGGACAATACAAATAAATTTAACTTACAATTTGAGACAGGGATACTATGGCTGCCTTACAATGGGAAGGTAACATAGAAGTTTATATACTATAAAAACTCCACTAGGTGGCGCCATCTACCTTATATACAACTCCTTACAGGTCCTCCTCATCCACTGTTGCATGTTATAAAAATAAAGGGATTTTTATTTTAGAACAACAGACAGAAATAGTGAACCTCATCTTATAATGAAAAATAACATGTCCAATGAAAGCCAAAGTGCAGAAAAATGTCTGGTTAGAACTTTTGAAATGTTAATATTTACTGTTTTGTTTACATTAACTGAACACCTTTGGGTTTTAAACGGTTGGTTGGGCAAACCAATTTGATTATTCTGAAACTGTGACTGGCATTTCACTTGTTTGACTATTTTATAAACCTTTTAATAAAAGAATCAAGAGACTGTAGACTGAACAATAATGGAAAAAAAGTTAACTGTAGTCTTAATAATAAGGTCCATTTGTACTGTTACATTACATCTCACACTTACTTGTTATAGAGGACGATGTCTGGTACCCATATGAGCTCTGATGGCACCCGTATAGATGTCACGTTGTCATAGTCAGATGGTCTCCAGCGAAGCTTGTAGTCGTTCCATTCCTGGGAGATACAGTCATGTTTTGGGAGCTGTGATCCTTTACTTAATTGTCATATAACTTAGCGATTTTATAGCACAATTAAGAAAAAAATGTAATAAATCAACACTGACACCATTGTTTTCTAACCTGTTTAAGCCACACATTGGTTGTCATCATTTGGTTCTTCTCATCCTAACCAAAAGAAAAACACAGAGAGAGAGAGAGAGCCAAATATAGCTCGCAGCAGCTTTACTCCAATAACCTGATAGATGTGAAGTGTTCTTTAACAGTTGTTGCTGTGACAGGGCGTGATCCAGTTTTCCAAAGTTTGATTTTGCTACTGTTTGTAAAAATGCCAAAACATGTAGTTGAACAACCACAGTGCTAAACTTGAAGTGTGTAAAGTTAAGCTAAGCTAATATGCTGATCAATTAAAAAATATATCTTCCACTCAGTCTGACCTTGAAACTTGTATCACTTTGTTCACTTTGTGAACTAAACACATACAAAAATGCATGTTTTTAGTAAAGCTGTTTTCAGATGAAATAGACTTTCAAAGAGGCATAAAGATGACACCCTGTCATGAGGCGCATTTTTTTTATAATAAAACATTAACTGTGCAAAATATTTACTAACAAATTTGTGCTTTTGTGTGAACCACAATAAAAGCAGCAGCTAGCATATCACCAAAATGAACATCTAATAATTTCTATTTATACTGTATAAAAGGAGCAAATGTGCTGTAAAAAGTCGGCATGAAGAGGCTCACCACGTCAATGAGCTGTGCTATGGACAGTCCAAACTTGACAATGACCACATCAGAGATGTTTGGCACGGGTCTTGACCACTTGTTGTAACCAGCGAACAGTGTCTTGAAGAGCTCATCCTCAGCATGTGAGTGGGTCTTCTCGTGACACAAAACTGTGGATGCATTATTTCATTTCATTTAAAAAAAAGTGCCATCTCTTTATTTCAATATTAAACATTCATAAAAGACAGATACAATAAGGGAGTAATGAAGTGTAGAAACTGGACAATTTTTTAACATTGTACAAATGAAATTCAAGATTGTTGCTTTTTTTTTTTATGCATGGAATTGATACAACCACATTTCAGGTGCCATGGTGGCGCGGAGGTTAGCACTGATGTCTCTAACAACATGGTTCCAAGTTTGAGCCTGGTGGCCTACAGGGATCTTTGTATACTCTGGTATAGATAACGGATGGAAACCAGCTCGCTTGGCAACACAATATGGAGTTTTTCAACATTTAAATAAGTTAATATGACACAGTTATAATAACATAAGCTGTAAATAGTGCAAATGAACTTTTGGTATCTTAACATCAGGGACAGTTTTAACTTGTGGCTTTGTTTTGGCCACATTATGCAGTTAATATCTGATAGTAATATATATAGACAATGCAACAATTAGATTGAGGAGGACAGGAGTAAGGAAACGTCACAGTATACAGGGACCATACCCATGTTCTCTCATCTGCCTCCTCTAATCCTCACTTAAACAGTAGTTGGCTTCTGGGAGTGAGGGTGAGTGTTGTGAACATATCATGGTTCCACCCACAAGCTTACAATAAACATCTAAGACTTTTCTTGGCAAAGTCTTATCGACTTTTCCACATCTTAGTAAAGCTTTTGATCCCTCAATCTGAGCTTCCCATGTGGGTTGCCTGCTAAAATCTCTCAAGGTGAGCAGATTGAGCCTGGGGAAGCATCTCTCCTCCCTCAGCAGCAACACCACTTTGGCTGTAATCTCTCTTTTGATCTCTTCGGTATGTCATTAGTACATATGTGTGGCTTCACAGTGAGAGGTGGATTGATAAAACTGATATTGAATGTGTAATCTAGATAGATTTACACAGATGCTTGGACTGAGTCACTATTAAATTTCTGCTGAATTAATAGCATGGAAATGGACAGGAATCCTGTCCCTTTGGGAGTACCGCTTCCACCTTCATCAGTGTAGCCAGTCAATTACACACATCATTACTTGCTAGTGTTAAGTGGTGCTGTGATCATTTCTCAGTAATGGAGGGTTTATTGTTGAGCTATCTGTCACTCTGTTACAACTGATGCACAAAACAATTAACTGACAGTTTCTACTTGAAGCAGAGGGTGACGATGGTGTGTGTTAGCATTTGAGTATGCAACATTTCGGCAGATACTGGAGTTGTAAAAAAAAAAATCAGTTGATCATACTCTGCCAATGTTGTTTTTTAACATACAGTACTGTGCAAAGGTCTTAGGCCACCATTGGTTTTGCTGTTTTTAGCAAGGTTGTAATGATAATTTATATTTATTTCTCAGTCTTTTTTAGATATCACACAAAGTTTTCAGAACTAATGTCTATATTCAGTGTAACCCCCCCCCTTTGCAATTAGCACAGCTTGAATTCCTTTGGGGGAGACTGTGTTGAAGTCTTGAACCATGACAGACCCTCCACCATGTTTCACTGGAGGCTGCGGGCACTCATTCTTACACCTCTCTCCAATATTTCTTCTCATATACTGTCGACTGCTGGACCCAATTTCTAACTAGGATTCGTCACGTCATGTTTTCTGCTGATCTTCACTCTGATCTTTGTGAGCTTGTGCATATCTCAACTGTTTCTCCCTCTCAAAGAATAAACTTCTCATCAGATGTTGACATTTTCTTGGTCCACTCCTGTTTTTGTCCTTGATCGCTCTGGAATCTTCATTTTTCTTTAGAACAGCCTGATACCACATCTGGAGTTTGATACCCGATATTTATTTTTGCCATTTGTGTTTTGTATTACTGTGTATTTCCTATATTTTCTTGTCGTGTTCCGATAAATAAATAAATCTGTATATATAGTCATCAAAACATTGATAAAGCAATCAGTCAATCTAATGATGGCCTATGATACAGCACTTTAAATACAGAACTAAAGCAAATCTTGTTAAGGGACAATAACATTTTTTTCTGAACAATTGTGACCAAGACACTGTATAATGAGTGGAAACCTTTTATTTAATAAAAGTGTATACTGCCTGTGCAGATTCTCAGTCATCCAGGTCATAGTAAGCTGAAAAAAAAAAACTTAGAAGGAGGCATCTGGACGTAGTTTTAGTTAGAAGACGTTTCACCTTTCATCCAAGAGGCTTCATCAGTTCTGCCTGACTGGTGGTGAGCAGGAGGTATTTATCCCACCGGGTGGGGTTTCAATCCTTCCAACAATGTCCTCCAACTCAGCCGTTGGAGGACATTGTTGGCTGTCTTATGACAACTTATCTCTGATTCATGTATTGAAATGTGCAAGCATCACATCAAAGCTGAACCTTAAAAATTTACATTAAAAGATGTATTGAGATGTCTGTGGATTGACATTCCATGCTCCATATGGAGCTCTGTTTGGCTCTGTTATAAGGGTATAATGCATCCCAACAAAATGTGCTACCATCAAGAATCCTAAAATGAGGTCTTGCTGCATCTCCTGCATCTGGCAGCAGTCATGGTTGATGAGCCAAGGCCACAGCGTTACCGGTCCATGGGTAAGTTGTTCTGACAACACTGACAAGTCTGTACAACCCATGATTGCAAGACAGTCCACTGGAGGATGGATGAGGAGCTTAAGTGCACCAAGATAACCTGAGGGATATACAGTATGCAAATCTGTTGAAATGATTTATTGTCCATGCTAGTTGCTTGACTTAAGGGGCTTTAACTGAGAGAGGCTGGACCAATACACAGACACAGTGCCCAGCAAATCTCTGATCATCATACAAATGAGGCCTGTGCAGTGAATTTTTAGCAGTAGTTGGTAAAATGCAGACATTAGACATGGCAAATAGTATTTAAATTCACTTTTAATTTCCCCAAGTTACACATGGGTTCATGTCCTGTCATCATGAACTAATTTCAATCTGGCAAACAAGCATGCACCAGAGAATTCTTATTTGCTCTCTTGACAGTCAGGGAGGTACATGCTCATCTGTTTGTGCATCTGGAAAGTACCAGCCTCTTGCAAGCGGAGACTTCAAGTGAGATGACATCTCTGATATCAAGCACACTGGGCGGTGGATGTTGGACTGTGGCCAAGCCCCTTGGCGAGATGTATGAAACGCTGACCAGTTTGGATGATCTAGTCAGCAGCTTCTCAGGCCAGGGGTGCTATTGGTGAAATATAATAATAAATCACTAAAAGCAACTTGCAACAGTTTTCTGGAAAAATGCAAGATTCAAGAAGGAAAGAATGAGAAGTGTATCAAGTACCACCAAGTCAGGTGAAGAGAGGGGATGCAGGCTGTGCTTTTAAACACTCTCTCACATACAGTATGTCACAAGAAGTCACAGCCTATTCTGTATGCAATCTTAACCTGGTTTATGGTCACAGTTGTTGTTGTTCGCATTTGAATGAAAGGACAAATCATACATGTCCATGTAAAAGCTGCTGAATCGTCATTCAAATAGAGCTGTTCCAACTTCCACTGCTTGATGGATTTAATGTCATACTGAAATGAGCTATCATGTATTGTCTTAGACACCGTTTCCTCAAATATGTCAAAAAATATCCTATCCTCTTTAAAAAAAAAAGTGCTTGATAGAGCCAGTAACATCATGGGTGGATCTAGGAAATTTTGAACAGGGTGGCCAGGCTGGGGCACAGACTCGGAGAGGGATGGCACATTTAAAATGCATATCAAAAGTAAATTAAGCCCCTAATTCTATAAAATAACAAGCCATACATTATTAAGAATGAAATAGTTTTGTGTAAAAATGAGAGAAACAGTGTTTTCTTTAGCCAACTTTGGCTGTGCTCCTTATTTACTCCCAGCCAGGGACATCGCTGCCGCACAGAGGTTCCCACCCCACTGAGGCAAATCATGTCAAGTAATCCACATAAACACAGTCTGAGAAATGAATGCAAATATGCCGCATGCATTATTTAAAATAAATCAATCACCAGGGGTGGCCAATCGGATTCTGGGGGTGGCCGGGGCACCCACAGCTCCACCCATCCATAATGATAAAATTTTCTGATTTAAAAGCTAAGGAAAATTCAAATTTGAGTTGGACTTTGAGGAACTGATTCTGGGGTTCACCCACATTCGGACTATAAACATGCACCTTTTCCATTGCTGATTTTGAGAAACAAATATGTCACCACTGATATCCATTGAAAGTATAACTGTGACTATATGTTGTAGCATAATGTGTTAAATATTTTCTTACAGTGTTATAGTGAGTTTTTGGTGAAGTGAACCGTTTACAGTTTTCTTAGTTTATTTCCAGTTCTCCGTTTATTCTATGGGGCAAAAATAATCAATGGTTAGATATTATAAATAAAACAAATACACCAGGTGAAGTAGCATTTAGCAGTGCGTAACTATCTAAACAGAAGAAAAGGATTGTGGGAGCTGTGGGTGAAGGGAACAGGTGTGGACAGATAGGTAACATGGAGTTACTTTAGGTCTACTAACCATTTTAAGTTTAAAGTTTATCGTTAACTAAGCTGCAAAAAAATGCCGAGTAACACTAGAACTGTTGTAGCTTACAGAATTAGCACACTTCTCTGGTGAAATATCAGGTTAGTAACATTTTGCTTTCCTTAATTGCTCATTTAGTCACAACGGAGGTGACATGTTAATGACATTTGCC